GTCAATTACACAGCCAACTCTCAGTCTGCCAACTCCTTTCCTGGTCTACGCAGAATCCATCACACCAGCCCTTTCCTTCCTGGCTATCTTGCCAAACCATTTTTTCAAGTTTATACCATGTCACTTACTCAAGTCTTTTCTGCTCTGGCATCTTGCCAGACCCCCTTTTATCAGGCCCATACAAAGTCAATTACAATCTTTTTCTGTTGCCGCCATCTTGAGAGGTCCCTTTTTCCCAAGACCAATGCAAAATCAATTACAAGTCTTATTTTCATTCGTATTCATTGGTGGACGACACACCTTCCCCTCACTCAAAACGCGATGTCCCCATCGCGCGGCTGGTTCTCACTCGGAGGTACGCAGACCTTTGGCCCGCCGACCACAAGTCAAGGACACAAACCCATCCGCTTCACAAAAGGAAGAGTGATCCGTTTTTCCCCAGCGGACGACGCCTCATCCTTCTACCCGGTCCGACCTTTCTTCTCTTACGTGGCGAGTACCTATACCAAGGTTCCTCCTCACGTCTGCCGGGTAGGTCCAATCCAAGCCTGTCAGGGCCTCGTCTAGCCGTAAGAGCGTTCCTCGCGAATCGTTCCTCCCGAGTGGTAATTTTCTGGATTCCGGCCTCTTTCTTTCAAGAGAGTTGGGGCTCTCGATCAGTCCGCGAGTGCAGTTACGAAGACCTCGCAATTAGTCCCGAAACGGTTGTAATGTTCCGGCAGGGCAGTGTCAATACCCCGTGGTGGTGGCGGACTCCACCCGGTACCTCGCCCGACCTCTCCCCTTAAACAGTGCCGCCCAACTTAGCGCGGGCAGCCGTGGTCCGACCCAAGCGGCCATGCCACCCCTCTATGATATGGCGTGTGGTTGGAGAGTAGCAAAATAGACTAGATGAGAATGACCTCCCTGCCCATTTGGCTCTCTCGCCCTTTGACGTTTAGGCATTCAACAGGAGGCGCAGTTGGAACTCCCCGACTAGAGCTCATTGTCGGAGGTCGTTCCGGATGTCCCGCACCGATCCAAGTGGTGGGTGCCTTAGTTCTTTAACCCTTATCCTCTCGAAGAGGAACAGGTCGCGCTGAGACTTTTTCCCTTAAAGGGATAGAGGTCTTGGGGTCGCGGTGCATGCACCCATATCCCGCTCTTGCTGAGGCCAAAGAATAGAAAACGAGAAATTCAATTTCAAGGCTCTTTCCAAGTCCATTTTGAGTTGCCTAGGGTCCCCTGTTTATACAATGCAATTTCCAATACTCAGTCCAATTCCAATGCTCAGTCTCGTTCCCATGCTCAATATCAGTCTAGTGCTCAATGCAATATTTTTTCGAAGGTTGAGTCCAATATCCTTTCCAAGGCTTAGCTCTTGCAATCTTACCCAAGGCTCAGCTCAATGCCTTTTTAAAACTCGGCTCAATATCTCATCAATATCTTTTCCAAAGCTCAGCTCTTCCAATATCATACATCTCAAGCAGCCATGCAAGGGGACCCCAGTGCCAATTCCAAAGAGTGATCCTTGTCAGGGGTCATCCCGAACAACCTGGTTAGGGTCGTTCTTTCTGCTTCCAAGTCGAACAACCTAGTTAGGCCATTTTTGTCCATTGCAATCGGACAGTCTGGTTAGGACCATCCTTATCCATTTCAATTGGGCAGCCAGATTAGGGTCATCCTTGTCCATTTCAATTGAACAGCCTGGTTAGGGTCATCCTTGTCCATTGCAATGTTAGCGCCCGAGGGGGTGGGCCTCGAGGACACGGATCCTATCTCGTCTCGGGGGTTAGAAAGCGGCAATCATCTTGGGTTTTTACGCATGCTTCTTCCTTTTCCTCATGTCTTTTGCCGTTCTCACATCCATCCATACATCCGACTTAGCGTCTAGTACTCAAGTTCAGGCTCGCGGCCTCAAGCAGCAGTAGCCCGCCCGACCGTTCAACCATTACAAGGGGTGTTGCATCATTTCAATATTTTCCTGCTATTTTTCTGACTTCTCATATGCTTCTCAATGCTCTGGGATTGCCTGGGGTAGGTTGGATTAGGCTCATAGGGGAGAGGGTGCCTCTCTACCCATAGGTCCCCTAACCTCTCACAAGGACTCGTGAGCGACTCATTCAATCGTGGGTACACAATTTCGAAAGAAAAACTCTCGCCATGACTGCATCTTCTAATGTTCAAGAGTTCACATGCCCCTGCCTATTTCCTCGAGGCAAAGCCAATCATCCCCAAAATCCGTTCCTTACTACCCAAAAAAGTTCACGTTTTCCCCAAAGAAGCGAATACACATACAAAGTAGCACAAGCCTCCCAATCCCCAATAGTTTCTTCAGTCCAAAAAGTAGTTTCATTACAGTCCTTTCCAAAAAAGGAGGAGACAAAGTTTGAATGCAACGACAACATTACAGACTCGTCTCATTTAGGTCCCTCTTGTTTTCCCCTTGCTTGCTCTTAGCTAACGCAACCCGTCACAGTTCTATATCTAAGTGCACTGACCCTTATGTATTTTTCCGAAAAGGCAACGACTTACACGAAGTAGCACCCATTGCCCGGTCTTTAGTCAAAAGTTGAACCATTTCAGTCCATTTCGCAGAGTTCAAATGCGAAATTCAAAATGGCAGTTGTCCCTGCCCAGGTACCAACCCTTCCTAATTTCTAGTCACCCCCCCTCCCCATTGCACCTGCTATTCCCCTAATGTCCAGGTGACCTGCGTTGAGCCTCCCTCCTTGCGCGATTCTCCCCTTCCTGCTCCATTTGCCTTTTTATTCCTTGGAACTGGAGGAGTGTCTGTTCTGTAAAGAAGGTTGTTGGGGCTAGATCCTCTCCTCTGCCCAGCTTTTCCCTTGCCTTCATGATCCATTGGTATCGCAAGATAAACCCCCATTGATCGAACCAATCGCTGAACTCATATCCGAACTCTTCTATCCATTTGTCCTTTTTCTCACCCGGCTGCTCCCTTCTTCCCCGTTCTTCTCTTGTGGGCGTTGTTACCTCATCTTCCTCCTCCTCGCTGGTGAGGTCGATAAATTCCACGGGCATGTCCTCGTCCAGCCTTGGTCTTTTCCCCGGGTTCCTCTCTTTCTTACTGCTAGTGTCGCTTTCCGATGGGAGGACTATCGGTTCCCCTTCCTTTAGTGGCGATGGTTCCCTGGTCCCTTGCTTTCTCCCTTCCCTGTTCACAACCAAGTTGTGATCAAATCCCACGTACAATTTCCTTTCCTGGAGCTCGATTGCCCGACCTGCCTTGACGACTGTCCCTCAGTAGGCCTGTTGATGGCGTTGCTGTCGTTTTCATTTCCAAAGTCCATTTTTGTCGTTTGTTGTCTTCCTTCTTCTTGCCTGGCCCTGTTCATACATAACAGTCACGACACCCCTCATACACACGCATTCCCTTCCACTCCCGTTTGCGACTCTGGAGGCTTCCCTAGAACTCTTGCTTGCCCCCACATAGTTGGTAGCCCCATTATCCCTTAGAACCCTCGACATGTTGTCCCAACACATAGGTGCCCCATGTAGGCAGTCCACAGCATCACCCCCCCTCCCCCAAAAACTATGGTACATTGTCCCAGCCCATAAGTACCTCGCGTAGACAGTCCCCAACGTTACCCCACAAAAACTATAATACACTGTCCCGTGCTCCCAGGCCCTATCAAAGTCAGCCCAGACAGTCTCCCCATGTTCCACAAAAGTCAAGACGCACAAACGAACAATCCCCGTGGTCATGATCACTTCCACAGGAAGGCGGTCCAGAACTTATAGCCAGCTGTCTGTCTTTCAGGCTGTCAGTTCCCGAGTTTCCCTGTCCTGGGCCTCTTGTAGCCACTGTTCCACCGGGTCCCTGCTAAAAAAATTGATCAATCTCTGTCCCGGAAATGACCCTCTTATGCTAGTACCATCGAGATCCTCAAGTTCAAACGTGTTCAGTCCCACCCGCTTAGCGATCCTGTAGGGCCCTTTGAATCTTTTTCCCAACTGCCCGGACCATGTGCTTTCAAGAGTCGAGTTCCTAATTAGCACATTTTCCCCCACCTGAAGTGACTCCTTCCGAATGTTCGTACATGGTCCATCTTGCTTTATCCCTCATTTGGTTGTCCGTCACACGATTGACTACTTCCTCGAGTGCCTCCTCATTCCTGGCGACCTGCTGACAACGTGCGGTGATTAACTCTTCAATGCTCAAGTGTGGATCGTCATCTAGCCTGTTCCAGGTAAGGACCAAAGCTTCTATCGGAAAATCGATCTCCCTTTTGTACCAGAGTTCTGCTGGAATACATCCCGTTGTTCTTTTCGGAGCCATATTCTCGGCGAAGACTGCCTGCTTGAGAAACCGTGGCCAATTTCCCAAAAAATTTGATGCCAACTTTGCGATTGTATTCTTCAAAGTCCGGTGACCCCTTTCTACTGGTGCATTTGCCTTAGGATGGTAGGGCTCAGTGATCTTGATCGGTACACACAATGTCTTAAGCCTGTTCAACACGTCCTGGTTAATGAATTTTGTCCCATTGTCTGCTATAAACCTGCGCACGAAGGGGTGCCTTAGGTAGAAATCTTCCACCCAGTCGGCCACCGCTTTCCCTGTCTTCTTCTTGAGGGCTATGACTTTCACATAGCCACTGAGATTATCCCTTGCATCCAAGATGTATCTAAACCCATCCGTTGATATGGGCATAACGACAAGGTCGAGGTGAAGAAGGTGTTCGGGTCCCAGTACCCGGGTGGGTCTAAGGGGCTCGTAAACTCGTATGACCCTCCTTTCTTGACATATCAGACACGTTTGACAATACGTTGCGACCATGCCTGCCATCCGTGGCCAAAAGTATAGGGGCACGATCTTTGCAAGTGTCCCCTTGGACGATTGGTGACCTACAGCTAGCCCGTCATGCATTGCCTGCATTAACTCCAGCTGCCTATACCTCCCACAAACGACACGCCTAGGTGTCATCTCTTCCTCTTTCTTGAACAGGTGGTCATTTCTTAGGTCATACTTTTCAACTTCCTCCCTTGCCTTGGGACTGACTTCCGTGGGTTGTTTGTTCCCTACAAGCAACAAACCAATTTCTTTGAAAACGCTCTCATACATTTGTATGAGGAAGAATTCTTGTTCGTTCTGATCCGCACCTGCTCCTCCCGAGTGAGGTTGACTAGGTACTGACACTCCTTCTGCGCCCAGGTTTCGGCCAATATCATCACGACGTCCCGTCCCCCTTCCACGATCATTGCCATCAATTCCTCTCTGGCCCCTACTTCTGCTCCCCACGAGTCTTTTTCCTCTTTACGCCCAACCGTGGTGACTGGTCCTTCCCTGAGTTCTGCAACTACTGCAGGTGCGCCCTTTTCCAAGGTCTGAATCAGCAACTGTCCTGTTGTAATTGCCGGATCTGCCATCTCATTATCCACGACAAGGGTCCCTCCTTCGTACTCCGGGAAGACGTCAATTGGTTCTGCGTCCTCTACTCCTTCTGGCGTGATACAAACCCTGCTCAGCCCATCTGCCCTATTTCGAAGCACTGCGATTCGCTCGACCTTATAGTCGAATTGTCATATGAAGCCTATCCATCTGCCAACAGTCGGCTCTATGGGCTTGTAGTTCTTTAGGGCTCCGGCAACGTTGGTGGGGTCGATCCTTAGGATAAATCGCCTCCCAAATAGGTATGCCTGGAAGGTCTTAAGACAATGCAGGATTGCTAAGACCTCCTTCTTGAACTGCGAATACTGTCGTTCTGCTGAATTCAGGGTCCTACTTTCAAATCTGATTGGTCTTTCTTTGTCCCCCTCGCTTCTCTGTATCAATACTCCTCCCACTGCCAATGGTCCTCCGTTTGTTTCTAAGATGAAGGGTCGTCCTACCTCGTCATTGAAACAGGGTACCGCTAACATGACCTGATTGGATGACAGGATGTCTTTCAGGGTCTGGGCTGCCTCTTCCCTATCCTCGGTCCAATCCATAGTGCCACTTTCCCTAATCATCGCGCGGATGGGTTCTGCTATCTTTGCGAAACATTTGATGAAGATCCTCCAGAACCCAACCACCCCTAGGAAGGCTCGTACTTCCGTCGTGGTACGCAGGGGTGTCGGCCACTGAGAGATCTTATCAGTCTTTGCTGGATCAGGTTTCCTCCCATAGACTCCACAGCGAAATCCCAGTATGGTTACTTCCGGGACGGTCAGGATGCTCTTGGGTCCGCTTGCAGTAATGTTGTAGATTAGGAATCGCTCGAGTAAGTCCTTAATATCCTGCAAGTGGTCCCAGACGAACTTTCGCACTCCCGGTTGCACTTCCATCTCATCTTTGTATCTTGCGCCTTTCACGGGATTATCATCTATGTAAGGTTCACACTTTTCCGGAAACATATCCCCTGCGCCGGCTAGCATCCTCCTCTGAGCTTCGGCTACCGCATTTGTGAAGCCCATAGCGGTCACTTGCATCTGCAGCTGTCCTACCGGGGTGTGCATTGCGGTATACGGTCTATCCCTCGTGTCGAGCGGCAACTGATCATATCCTGAGTACAAGTTTACCAGGTAGTAAATACTCCGCCCCGCATGAGATTTTGCCAACAAGTCGGTCTGTGGAAGCGAGCCTGCGTCCCTGATTGTTACCACATTGAGCTTCTGCAGGTCCTGGATCCACCTGAGCGTCTTATTGGGCTTCCTGAACACGAACCACTTGTTCGCGTAGGGAGATGCGGTGGGTTCAGTTATGAAAGAATCTATTTTGGCTCTAAGCAGGTCGGTGACCTCCACTGCTATCCCAAACTCATAGGCGGACCCTTTATCATTCCAACACTCGTGCTGTACGGTGTGGATCTTGACAGGGTCCAATCGCCCTTTCTGATGATCGTTGAAAGCGAAAGCTAAATGAAACTCCTGGCATACCTTTCTTATCAATTGAGTTTCTTCCGTTGTTAGAAACCCTTCCACTCCTATTTTCATGGTGTCTACTACCTCATCTGGTATGCGATGCCCTTCCGTTGCTCGCCTCTCCCTTATTACCCGCAAGATTTCCTCCTCCTTCTCCATGGCCTCTTCCTTTGACGTTTCTACTAGGATCGAGACCAGCTTGGCCTTCTTGCCAAAGGGTTTATACTTTCACGCACTAACTTCGGGGATCGTTCTCCTAAAAAATGAACGGTCGGGATTGGCCTTTCTACCTCCAAGACGCGGGGCTGGATGCTGACTAACTTCTCATTCAGACAGTAGCCCTTTCGAACCCCATCCTCAAATTTGGCAAGCGTTGCGAGGTCCACCCCTACTTTGTGTTGTACCTGATGGCCTTAACGAGTTGTAATAAATCTGGGATTTCAAGCACTACCTCTGACGTTTCATTTCGGGCTTCCTTTGGTTTGGGCAGGCTAGCCCCAAGTTCGACTTCCGACTCTTTTTCTGCCACCATAACTTCCAGGGACTCGTTCTCTGGCCTCCTCTTCTTTACAGGCAAGCCCATCTTGATCCACTCGTTTTTGCTAAAAGTCTCCTCAATCATAATTTCTACCCTTTCCCTCATTCCTTCCATTCGTGTGAATGCCCCCTTCCGTGCACTTTCTTCGTATGTTGGCGACCAGGTTGCGAATTTGCCCTTCGGAGGGTCCCCTCCAGTTCCGAGGAGTCGGAGGAGTTCTTCGTGCTCAGTCACCGGATCCTCTATGTCTACCATGTATGTGTTGTCGTGCAGATGCATTCCTATCATTTCCACATTGGCGCACCATGGTCTCCCGAGGATTACGTCGTGATCCATTTCTTTCATCACGGTCATCTGCTGAAAGGACCAGATGGATTCCCGGATTCCCGCCCTGACTGCACATTTGGTGACATACCCTGTGAAAGGAATTTCGCCACCTGCTCCCCGGATACTCCYTGCTACTTCCTTGTTTACCGTGCACCCCGTGACCGTTGCGAAATYCCGTCGTATAAGGGTGATTTCTGCTTYKCCRTCCACTAACGCGTCAGTGTGGTGAGTTCTGATTTGAACTTTAAGTTTCCCAACTGGTAATGCATGAAAGCTAAGCTTTGTCCCGGGTGGCGCCCTCATGACTTCGCTGCCTTCACGATCCGGTAGGCTTAGGCGGATATCCGCAAAGGCTTTCTCTAACTCTCCCTGGGCCCCTGGAATGCTTTGGAGGTTGGAGACTCCTTGCGGCGCATTGGCCTCCTCCGTGTCCTGCTCTTGCAGTTCCGGGGCCTCCTCTACCTCTACGCGCTTATGCGTTAGCAACTGCCTGAGTCCTTTAAGCAGCCTTGGGCTGGCTTGCAGCATGGTCTGAAAAGACACCGATACCATGGTACCCTGTAGCTTACTCAAGGTGCCATCGATTTCTGGCGAAGTCCAGATCGGAATTTGATACCTGAACTTCTTTTTCGCCACCGTAGCCTTGTCTACTAGTTCCTCCTCCCTCGACTTCCCATAGACCTTCTCTTGATCCCTGACTTCGGTCTCTTGCTGGCCCGTGCTAGTCCCTGCGAGTTCCTCCAGTACTGTATCTTGGATGAACTTCTTTTCCGCCCTGGTCCGACAAGTGGTAATTTTTACCCTATCCTGGCCATTGCCTTCTAGGATAAAATTGGTCTGTGGTCCCCGTCCCCTTGGCTGGTCCCAGACAATCTCGGCTATCGGTTCTGCTTCTACGGCAGCTATCTCTAAGTTATTCAGGAGAATGACGGCTCGCCTCATCCCTCCTGGCGAGTTCCAATTAACACGCTCCCCCCTGGGCCCGAGGATCTCGCCTTTGAGGGACCTACTGCACCTTTTTCGCTCGATATCATGATCGAGGCTCGGACAGGCCCGTACGAAATGCCTGATCATGGTGCAATACTTTCATTGTTCGTTGGCCGGGATCCTCTAGCCAAACGCTCGGCTTGCTACAGCTGCCGGAACCACGGCCTCTTGGGGTCGGAGGGCGGGTCTGGACACTTGTGCCTTCATTACTAACAACGCATTTTCCATTCTGTCCATCTTGCTATTAACCCCGTGCACCCGTTCTTGCAGACTCTCTATCCCCTTTTTGACCTTATCCCCTGTCTTCCCGGTCAGATCTATGACCTCCCCTTCCTTAAGCAGGGCTAGCGTCTCGGTAACCACTGTCTTTTCCGCCAGGTCTGTTACGGTGCTGAAATCCACATCTCTCGTGTATTCGAACTTACTGGTCTGCTGGTATGCTGACAAAATCTTATCCTTATCAAACTCGGAGAACTGCCTGAGGAAGTATTT